GTTTTGATTTCTACCTGTATGTTAATAACACACCACCCATGCAAAGTGAACAACGACTAAAATCAAACCGCACTCGAGTACTCTGTCCAGGGGTACCGCACACAAACGAATGTTAAAACGTAACGTGCTCGAACAGTTACCACAACCGTTCTGGACTCTCAAGCATGGTAACAATGTATAACATACAAAAGTTCGTTGATACCAGATTGTATATTGCTAAACAGATGTTGTAATCTTGCATTATTACCCAATAAAAATTTAAAAAAAAAAAAAAAATTGAAGGGATCACAAAACGAGCTAGTGTGATGAAGTTATTTAATTCACACTAAGAGCACATGAATTCCATTACTTAATGCTAGACAGAGCTTTCAAGCTTTGCCCTTTTGTCCAGCAGATTATATATTAGACATGTGCAATTCGTTTCATTCCAAATGTACATTCAGATGAATTTCATGCAATTCGGACATTCGGATGCTTACGAATGTCTGAAGCTCGAATTGCCAAATTTCCGAATTTCCGAATCTCTGAAGTGCGAAGTTCTGAATTGGCAAAGTTCCGAAGTGCTTTGGATTTCTGAAAAGTGGCAAAACAAGTGGTTAGGGTTAGGATTAGGGGTTAGGGCCAAAACAAGTGGTTAGGGTTGTGGTTAAGGTTTAGGGTTAGGGTTAGGGTTAGGATCTGAATTACCGAAGTTCCGAATCGCCGAAGTGACCGAATGCCATTGGTCTGACTTGCCGAAGCAGACAAATTTTTTACTTACCCAAATATCTGAACCCACCAAATTTTTTGCCTATGCAAATCCCTATTATATATGTGTTCAACAGGAACAGGGCAACTTAACATTTCTCCAATTTGTGGATATTGCTGTATCTACATCAGGATTAAAATATTCACATTAAATGTAATACAAGAAGGTCATAACACATGTAGGAAATTCCGATACCTCTGCTCCTTCCTCCCATTTTCTTGTTTCTTTGGTAAGTGGATTAAAAGCCATTTGTTCCAGTTAGTGTGCTATTTTACAAATATCAATCAACTTGAAGAGGTTAATCCCCTAATATTTAATTGTTACCCCAGTGGATTTTCTAATGAATATTACAAAGAGGTCTTCATTGTTTTTTATCGCTTGGCTCAACCTGTACACCAACACGTTTCGTTCCAAATACAGGAATTTATTCAGGATACTTTGAGAAAGTTCTTTAGTTTAAAAATGGAATGTGTGCATAACAATTCGGGAAATTTATTACTATTATTATTTTGTTCAATAAAGATTTTCTTATTTTATGTATGTAACGTTTACATTAGGAGGTATACTTTTTTAGAGTCGGATTTTCACCCTACTCTATGGGGGTGGATCTCTTACCCTAATTCTCTTTAGTTATATTTGTCTTTGGGGTTAGGCCCCCTATACCTCTAGTAACCTTTGCAGGTAGAGGTGGTGATTTTTCATCCCCTCTCCCTCTTCTGTCTTTTTTATGTGTGCATAAGTAGTTTGCATTGAGTGACCTGCAGAAACCAGTCTAGACATAGCTTGTGAGCTTTTAGGCAACATACATGATGTCTGTAAGTACTCAACCCATAAAGGGAGATGAGGCCCTGCAAGCATAGACACTTTGGACTGTATAGGATACAGATAGCAAATTAAATTGCATTCTCAAATGCTTGATCTTTGTGGATATCAGAGTCTCTCCGAGTGTGTTCTTTCAATTGCATATTGTTTTTTTAGCACAATATCTGGTAGTATTTACTTTACTGTTGTTTTAGGAACTCTGCTAATAAACATCATTTTTGTCAAATAAGTAGAATTTAACTTTTACTATTTTTTTAGGTTGGTTCAAATGTTGCTTTTTAAGCTATTTTTAAAGTTGCCACGTGTATAGCCTGGAGTAGAGCTGTGTCATTCAAAGCATAAACTGAAAGGGTTTAGTCAACTGTCCTATTTGACAATTGGGCTACCATGCACCTGTCTTCCCTCATTTTAATAAGCTATACTACAGCTCATAGTAAAGCGTAGGAATTGTGCATGTTCACATATACTCACTCTCAATGAAAAGCCTCTGATTGTTGTTTTTCCCGGCATGGCAGAAGGTTGGTAGGATTGCAAAGGTTTCATCAATTTGCTTATTTATGTCAAAGCAAAATAATGCACACTAATTCTAACAAAAAATACAATGTACTACTTAAAAACATTTAAGGATGCACTGACAAAGCAAAGAAACAATACACTAGTTGACATTTTATCACGGACAGTGTTTTTGATTGACCCTACCATTCTGGCTTTTAGACATGTAACCTAGTTATATAGCCGCTGTGAAATCTGTAATTTTAGACCCCTTAACCTCCCAACAATTGGGAGGGGAGAGTCGGGACAGGTAGGTGGGTAGTTGAGGTGGCATTGACAGTGACACGGACCACGTCACTAGCCTTATACCTAATAGGCAGGCTCGTCCCTTTCCTGCCCACTGTCCTTTTTATCTGGCTGGCCTCTCGCCTTCAAGATCTTCAGCAGCACTCCCTGTGTGGTCCCAGTGCCTCCTGCACAGCATGAGTGCATCTGATGATGCTCTTGCCCTTTGTTATCCAGGGAAGGTTCTCTGTGGTCTCTAGATGTGGGATTGTTGTAAGGCCTGGATTACTTCCCTGGTCATTTGACTCTAATCTGGATTCATTAAGAACTCATAAGAAAATTAGTTTTATTTTTTATTTAAACTTCCTAACAAGGCAACCGGAACCTGCTGTAGTCCTCTTACTTAACTTAACATTGGACTCTATGGAATTTTTTGACACCGTTGCCTAGTTCAGTCAAATGTAGCTCATTTTGTTCGTCACTACTTATGTCAGCCATTTTGCTTTTATACTGTAGCCTAAATGGGTTACATAGATGTCTTGTTGCTATATGTGAGAATATTCACAAACTGACATATTTATTTATTCATTTTTTTAAATTTACAGTTCTGATGCAGGGAATCTTTCTAAATTCATACCTCCCACCCCGGCATTTCAAAAGTCTGGACGCCATTGGTAATGGCTATTTTGCCAAAATCAGGACTGTTGGAAGGCATGTAATTTTTATGTATATAAGTAGATAACCCTGTCTATGGGCTTCAATCCATATGCCAGGTAGATAACAGAAAAGGAGGATATTTGGGTGCACTTTGGCTTTTGCAAATAACCCTGATCGGATACAGACAATAGACTGGAATGAACAAGTAATTAAATCAGATTGCAGAGGTAATGTTGTTGTTGTCCTAAATTACCCTTTGTGAATACATTTTGAATAAATTGAATGTTACAATGTTGAAATAGCAAAGTCATTGAGTTATGAGTGACAGTGTCCTGGAACACAGAGGTCAAACACTATCACATCCATTAGCATTGTACTACAAGATCAAAACAATATAGCATTTTATCCAGGTTATTAAAGATAAAAAGGATATTAAGCAGTTGCCTTGTTCTGAATGTTTCAAATTAAGGCACATTAGGTTATTCATTGTGTCACAGGCTGTCAAGAGGTCAATTAGGGTAGAGGAAATACTTTTGGTCAATACTTAGTCTGCTGAGCACATTTCAAATCTAACACAGGGGTGCTCAAAAAGTAGACCCCCACCAAACTATTACATCGATGATGCATTGCTTTGCCATTCTGAAGGCTGACGAAACATCACAGAGCTTTTATTTTTAGAATTTCTGGAGATCTACTTTTTGGACATACCAAGCGCATGCAATTCAGAGTAGAATATGCCAGGTTTTGATATTATTAAAGGTGGTGTTCAAAAGTGTACACAGAAAAGAATTGTTTCACAATGTTAACTGAGTAATTAAGGACACAGATTAAACATCTGTCAAGTAGAGTTGAGCGGACACCTGGATGTTCGGGTCCGGCGGGTTCGGACGAACTTTGAAAAAAAGTCCGGGTTCGGGCCCGAACTTGACCCTGAACCTGAACCCCATTGAAGTTGAAAATAGCACTGGATGGAATCTTTGATTTTAGCTTTGGAAGAACATAAATCAAAATCTAAAGCATGGCTGTCAGGAGGATAAACAGAATTATCCATTTGAGAGAGGGTTGGAGTGCAGGGTATTCTCTTTCATTGTTCAAACTAAGCTCAACTCCTGATGCATGGAGAAAAGGCCTTCACAAGCCTCTGCTAATGTGTACCTAGTTTATACTAAGTTACCCATAGGTTGAAGAGGCGGTGACCGCGGCAGTGGAGGAGGAAGCAGCGGTGGAGGAGGAGGATGAGGTAGCCAACACTGTATTTATGGGGTTTTTTTTTGTTAATTGTGCTAACCCACAAAATATTGGGACATAGAAAAAAAGAAAAATTTGCAGCCTACGGTGCATGTCTTACAGTCCTGACGCATGGAGAAAAGGCCTTCACAAGCCTCTGCTAATGTGTACCTAGTTTATACTAAGTGACCCATAGGTTGAGGAGGCTGTGACCGTGGCGGTGGAGGAGGAAGCAGCGGTGGAGGAGGAGGATGAGGTAGCCAACACTGTATTTTATGTTTTTCTAATAGTGGTAGCCCACAAAATCTTGGGACATAGAAAAAAAGAAAAATGTGCAGCCTGCGGTGCATTTCTTGCAGTCCTGATGCATGGAGAAATGCTCAACTCCTGATGCATGGAGTAAAGGCCTTCACAAGCCTCTGCTAATGTGTACCTAGTTTATACTAAGTGACCCATAGGTTAAGGAGGCGGTGACCGTGGAGGAGGAAGCAGCGGTGGAGGATGAGGTAGCCAACACTGTATTTTATGGGGGTTTATTTTTTTCTAATTGTGGTAGCCCACAAAATATTGGGACATACAAATAAAGAAACATTTGCGGCCTGCGGTGCATTTCTTGCAGTCCTGATGCATGGAGAAAAGGCCTTCACACGCCTCTGCTAATGTGTACCTAGTTTATACTAAGTGACCCATAGGTTGAGGAGGCGGTAACCGTGTCGGTGGAGGAGGAAGCAGCGGTGGAAGAGGAGGATGAGGTAGCCAACACTGTATTTTATGTTTTTTTTTTTTTTTTTATTGTGGTAGCTGACAAAATATTGGGACATACAAATAAAGAAACATTTGCGGCCTGCGGTGCATTTCTTGCAGTCCTGATGCATGTAGAAATGTTTTCATATATATATATTTTAGTTGGGGTAGCCCACAAAATATTGGGACATATAAAAAAAGACAACTCTGTTCCGAAGAGTAGCTGTTGACATTATAGTTGCGCAGGAACTTTGTTGACTCTAGAGAACCTCGGGCAAATCCATATCAACTTTCGATGCCAATTTCTGCGCCTACCATGGCGACCATGGGTAATGGGGAATCAGGGTTCCATTCCGTACAGGGACCCTGAGAAACATCTACCACATGCAAGGAAGGCAGCAGGCGCGCAAATGACCCACTCCCTACAAGGGAAGGTAGAGACGACAAATAACAATACAGGACTCTTTAGAGACCCTGTAGTTGTAATGAGTCCACTTGAAATCCTTTAACTCTGATCAATTGGAGGGAAGTCTGGTGCAGAGCCACTGACCCATGCGTGCTGCAGCTGAAACGTAACTATCGCCTGCTGCTGCTCGCACAGTCTCATGAGGCAGTGAGCGGGAAGGCCGAAGTTACGCTGCAACGCAGACAGGCGAGCAGCAGCAGGGTGACACCGCCAAAAGCGCGCACAGCCGCTACAGTGACTGTCACATCCTGTTCCAAGTTGCGGATGAGTCTGGTGATGGCTTCTGGTATTCAGTACTCTTTTTACTGAAGCTGCATCAGGGTCCTGGTATGAAGTCGCACAAACGCTGGTGCTCAACACCAGGGGGCGTGCGGTTACCCTGCACCAGACCCTGCTAATCCATTCCACACTGTGACTCCTAACTTCAACATCAGGCATACTGGGTCCCGGTCATCCGACCACCGCCCAGACAGTGTCTGGGTCCTGGTCACTGGACTTCACACCTCACTGTGAAACTACGAATGGATCGTTAAATCTGGTACGAACCCGAACTTTGCAGTTCGGGTTCGCTCAACTCTATTATGGATCCTTTCATCGCTACATGTATTACTTGAATAATTGGTAATTCTCGAGCTACATGTCGACGAGCGCTTGGGGACGGCCGCTCCGCACCCTGCTCCCTCTTATGATGTGCTGGTGCCTCTGTGCGACCAGCGCCTCTTCCTCCAAACTGCACACGTCACTCACATGACCTTGATTCCATGTGGGGACTAGGACCTCATCATCCTCCACATCATCTTCCACCCACTCCTCAACCCTGCCCTCCTTGTCGGTATGCACACTGCAGAAAGCCACAGCAGTTGGCACCTGTGTTTTTCCAGCATGTAAAATCTGCAAAGGACAGATTAGCAGATTAGCACCCAGAAAATAAGAATGTTTACCACTGCGCAGTAAGCGCACTATTTGACGCTTCTATTTGACTCTCAGATATGAAGTGCACCGCAGGCCCCAAAATGTACTATTTAGCAGATTAGCAGCAAAACAATTAGAATGTTTACAAGTGCACAGTAAGCACACTATTAAATCCTTCTATTTGACTCACAGATATGAAGAACAGGCCCCAAAATGTACTATTTAGCAGACTAGCACCCAGAAAATAAGAATGTTTACCATTGCGCAGTAAGCGCACTATTTGACGTTTTTATTTGACTCTCAGATATGAAGTGCACTGCAGGCCCCAAAATGTACTATTTAGCAGATTAGCAGCAAAACAATTAGAATGTTTACAAGTGCGCAGTAAGCACACTATTAGACGCTTCGGTTTGACTCTCAGATATGAAGAACAGGCCCCAAAATGTACTATTTAGCAGTTTAGCACCAAACGATTAGAATGTTCACAATTGCGCTGTAACCGCACTATTAGACGCTTCGATTTGACTCTCAGATATGAAGAGCAGGCCACAAAATGTCCTATTTAGCAGATTAGCACACATCATATTCCACCCACTCCTCAACCCTGCCCTCCTTGCCGGTATGACACTGCAGAAAGCCACAGCAGTTGGCACCTGTGTTTTTCCAGCATGTAAAGTCTGCAAAGGACAAATGGAAATTGTTTTAGAATTTCCTCCAGGCAACAGTTTTCCCTATAAACTGACCTCTCAGTTTGACTTGTGAGGATATTGCCCCAGAATTACAATATTGTTGAAGTACCTCTTAGCTATTGATCTCTGGTTTAAATATAGCAGCTTGTTATCTGGTAGTTTCTAGTGTAGAAAATATCAATCTGTTTTCTATCACTTAGATCTGTGTAACAAGTGTTGTAGATGTGAAACAATATTACAAGTGACCGATGTAGTAAATTTGAATAAAAGTTACGCTTCGATTTGACTCTCAGATATGAAGTGAACACCCCAAATATACTATTTAGCGCCCCCCAAAAAATGACTTTTTAAAACTCCAATGTAAGCAGCAGATTAGCAGCAAAACAATTAGAATGTTTACCACTGCGCAGTAAGCTCACTATTTGACGCTTCAATTTGACTCTCAGATCTGAAGTGCACCGCAGGCCCCAAAATGTAATATTTAGCAGATTAGCAGCGAAACAATTAGAATGTTTACAAGTGCGCAGTAAGCACACTCTTAGACGTTTCTATTTGACTCTCAGATATGAAGGACAGGCCCCAAAATGTGCTATTTAGCAGATTAGCACCCAGAAAATAAGAATGTTTACCACTGCGCAGTAAGCGCACTATTTGACGCTTCTATTTGACGCTTCTATTTGACTCTAAGATATGAAGTCCACTGCAGGCCCCAAAATGTAATATTTAGCAGATTAGCAGCGAAACAATTAGAATGTTTACAATTGTGCTGTAACTGCACTATTAGACTCTTCGATTTGACTCTCAGATATGAAGAACAGGCCCCAAAATATACTATTTAGCAGTTTAGCACCAAAACAATTAGAATGTTTACAATTGCGCTGTAACCGCACTATTAGACGCTTCAATTTGACTCTCAGATATGAAGAACAGGCCCCAAAATGTACTATTTAGCCGACTAGCATCTAGACAATAAGAATGTTTACCACTGTGCTGTAAGCACACTATTACACGCTTTGATTTGACTCTAAGATATGAAATGCACCCCACTAAAATACTATTTAGCAGTTTGGACCCCCAAAAATGTTAAGTTTTAAAACTGCAATGTGACAGCAGTATTTGACGCTTCTATTTCACTCTCAGATATGAATTGCACCCCACTAATGTACTTTTTAGCACCCAAAAAATTTTAAGTTTTAAAACTGCAATGTGACAGCAGTATTTGACTAATGTACTATACCACTAATGTACTATTTCGCACCCAAAAAAATGTACTTTTTCAAACTCTGATGTAACCGCAGTATTTGAAGCTTCTATTTGACTCTCAGATATGAAGTGCACCCCACCCCACTAATGTACTAGTTTGCAGAATTCTCTCCTAAGCAGTGGCGTACTAAGGAGGGGGTGGGGGGGGTGGGGGGGGCGGTCCGCCCTGGGTGCCACCAGGGTGGGGGGTGCCATTACCAGCCCCGCCGCCCCCCCCCCATGCTGCAGCCGCCCGAGCGCTCTGTAGAGAGCCTCAGGCGGCTGCAGCTTTGCCCGGGCGGTGTGTCCATGAGGGCGGACTGCACCGCCCGGGCGCAGCCTGAGGAGAGGGGCTGAAAGGAGGGAAGCGCTGAGCGCTCCCTCCTGTCAGCCCCTCTCTGTAGCGTGGCCGAGCCCAGTATAGTCCGCGGGTACAGGGAGCAGCTGTCTCCTGTACCCGGCCGGACTAACAGGAAGTGCACACTCCTGTACCCGCGGGGAGGGTGAGAAGGGAGGGTGTATAGTAGTATGAGGGGTATGACAGTAGTATATAGAGTGTATATTAGTATAGAGTGTATTGTAGTATAGGGGTAAGATTAATTATAGAGTGTATATAGTAGTATAAGGGGTAAGATTAGTATGAGGCTGTATATTAGTATAGGGAGTGTATTAGTATTATGGGGAGTATTAGTATAGGGTGTATTAATTGCCCTTAGAGTGTATAATAGTAGTATAGGTATATATTAGTATATAGAGTGTATTAGTATAAGTAATGAGTATGGGGAGTAGTATATTAGTATAGGGAAGTAAGAAGTAGTATAGAAATTATGTGTAGTATAGAGTGTATTAGTATAGAAGTGTATTAGTATAGGGGTGGATTAGTATAGAGGTGGATTAATTATAGAGGGTGGATTAGTATAGGGGAGTGGATTAGTATGGGGGGTGTATTAGTATAGGGGGTGTATTGAGTATGGGGGTGTATTAGTGTTAAGGGGGTGGGGTGTATTAATTATGGGGTGTGGATTAATTAAGGGAAGAATTAATTATGGGTAGTGGATTAATTAAGGGGAGGTGGATTAATTATGGGGGTGTATTAATTAAGTGAGGTGTATTAATTAAGGGGGGATGGATTCATTAGTGTGGATTAATTATGGGAGAGTGGATTAATTAAGGGGGTGGATTAATTAGTGTGGATTAATTAAGGGTGCATGTATCAATTAAGGGGGGTGGATTAATGAAAGAAAACCTTTAACATTTTTTACAGGTTTTTTTTTTGGGGGGGGGGGTGCCAAGCACAGGATCCGCCCCGGGTGCCAAATGCTCTAGGTACGCCCCTGCTCCTAAGCTGTCCCTATCAGCGGCAGCATCCTCTCCCTACCCTAATAAGACTGCATGTGCGTGCGGCGCTACGCGACTCCATCTTATATATAGAGGCTGGGTCACATGCTGCACTGGCCAATTACAGCCATGCCATTAGTAGGCATGGCTGTGATGGTTTGTAAGGGCACATGAGTCAAACGCTTGTTGGCTGCCCTGCAGCCTTTGAAAACACGCCATTAAACCACCGAACACCGAACTCCAACCTGAACATATAGTGATATGTCCGTGTTCGGGTCCGGGGTCCAAAAATTGTCAGAAATTCTATAGAATTGACTAGTAAATGATCAAACAAAAATTAAACAAAATATGAAAAAGTTATATTGCACACTTCTAGCCAATTTGCAAAACATAACTGTCAGTGCATAATGTACCTAACTAGATAGATAGGTTGTATACAAATTATTATTAAAACTTATAAACTTTGTGGATGAAGTCCAACCAGTCTAAAAGGAAAACATTTGTTATAGTTCACTTGGTTTTATTCAAGAAAGTGAATGGGCATGTCAAAAATGGTTACTCCAACGCAGGGGCGTACCTAGAGCATTTGGCACCCGGGGCGGATCCTGTGCTTGGCACCCCCCACCCTCCCCCCCACCCCAAAAAAAAAAAAAACCTGTAAAAAATGTTAAAGGTTTTCTTTCTTTTTTTTTTACAATTTGTAAACTTTGCAAAACAGTCAGCCCCTCCTACAAAACCCTTGTGCTGCCCCACCCCTCCTACAAAACCTCTGTCCTGCCCCTTCTACAAATCCTGTACTGCCCAGTCTACAAAACCCCCGCAACCCCCTTCCACAAATCCCCTGCTTATCCCCCCTTATAAAGACTCCTGTCCCAATACAAAAACCCCGCCCCCTTCTACAAAATCCCTGCAGCCCCACACACACAGGT